TTGATTTCTAAATACAGTGGGTTTTCAAAGGCATGTTTGTTGATATTAGAGAATAATATCTTTTATTACTGTCTGTCCAGATCAATCATTTAACACGTTGGTACAAGCCATGGTTTTACAAGTACGTGGAAAGGTTCTTGAAGAAGGGCCGTGATTATGAATACATTCCTCTTGGAGACTACCTTTTGCGACACAACAGGGCAATCTTCTGGGTGGTGGAGACAATGATTCCTTTTGGCAATAATGCACTCTTCAGATTCTTCTTTGGCTGGTTGCTTCCACCTAAAATTGCTTTCCTGAAGTTTACTACAACACCAGGTGTAAGGGCCATGACCTTTACCAAGCAGGTAATTATTATAAGTTATTTGTAAAGCTAATCTTAGTATAATTGATTATATTTTTATTACAGTATGTGATTTGTGAGAAGCTTAATATTGGAAGCATGTGTAAATTCAGAATCTCAAGTAATTTAAATTCATGCACATTTTTTTTTTTTAATACACAGGTGTTCCAGGATATTGTGTTACCTATGAACCAGCTGGAAGACCAGATAGATAAGTCTGAGGAATTATTCGACTTGTATCCTGTTCTTGTTTATCCTTGTCGAATTTATGATCATGGCCCTCACAGGTAAGTTCTGGTCCAGATTGCTTTTTATGACAAGTATTTATTACAAAAAAGCAAAATAAAAATGAAGAGGATAATATGCTGTATTTTCCTGTCATTGCTAATACTATGGAAAATTATTCTCTCTCTAGAGGTCAGTTACGTCCACCACGTAAAGATCAGATGGTGCCAGGAGCAAATTATGGAATGTTCAATGATCTTGGAGTCTATGGGGTACCGAGACCTGTGCTTGAGAAGAAGCGCTTTGATGCAGTTGATGCAATGAGGAAAATGGAAAGGTAGATATTAAATTTTGTTTTGAAATGTGAGTGTTTTTTAACTTATTTTTAATGATTATCTTTTTTAATTGTTTATTTCTCTATTTTCTCTGTCATTGTGTGTTTGTGAGAAAGTGTGTCTGTAGATATTAGTGTGTACATATATGTATATATGTAATTGTGTGTGTGTGTGTGTGTGTGTGTTTTATATATGTGTGTGTGTGTGTGTGTGTGTGTGTGTGTGTGTGTGTGTGTGTGTGTGTGTGTGTGTGTGTGTGTGTGTGTGTGTGTGTGTGTGTGTGTTGTGTGTGTGTGTGTGTGTGTGTGTGTGTGTGTGTGTGTGTGTGTGTGTGTGTGTGTGTGTGTGTGTGTGTGTGTGTGTGTGTGTGTGTGTGTGTGTGTGTGTGTTTATGTGTGTGTGTGTGTGTGTGTGTGGTTATTAGTGTGTACATGTATGTATATATATAATTGTGTGTGTGTGTGTGTGTGTGTTATTAGTGTGTTGTGTGTGTGTGTGTGTGTGTGTGTGTGTGTGTGTGTGTGTGTGTGTGTATGTGCTTGCTTATGTGTGTGTGTGTGTGTGTGTGTGTCTGTGTGTGTGTGTGTAGAAAGGAAGGAGTGACATAAGTTACTCACACAGACTTAATAATTTTGTGGTAGTATGTAAAGAATATAATCCATATATGAAAAATAAGATATTCATGCAAAGCGTATTTTATAATGATAAGCAATTTTCTACAGTCTTTCTAAAATTATACAGAGAAATCATTATTTAGTATATATGAAATAAGAATTCAGGTTGTTAAGATATTATGTGTTGGTCATATTTAGGTTCACACAAGAAGTAGGAGGCTACCCATTCTTGTACGCTGACACTTTTATGACAAGGGAGGAATTTGAGAAGATGTTTGATCTTACGGCTTATGAGCAAGTGCGAGCTAAATATAATGCTAATGGGGCATTTCCTCATCTTCATGATAAGGTAAGACTGTCTGCAGCGTTGTTTCTATGAAGACAGACATAGAATACTTATGAAGAAAATAGATTTTTACAAATTTTAGATATAAGGATGTAAAATGGATATTAGTGCATGGTTATCATGTAAGTAAATCTTCAGTATTGTCAGATTAGGTTGCCTATTGTTATAATATTTTCTCAAAATTTATTTTCCTTTTTATTCGCGTCTGATGCTTTATTTCTTGTTATTTTACAGATCAAGCCCGAAATTGATGTTGTGGAAGTCGGGAAGCAGTATATGGATCCTTTGTAAAAGAAGAGCAGGAGGATGATAGATGCAAAGTATTCCTTTTGAACTACTATGATAGTTTTGAACTGCAGGCAGAGGACAGTGACTGTCAGAGAGCTTGGTGTCCTTAACTACCTCATGAAGGAATACAATTTCCACAAGCCTTTTTGTTGTATTTTTGACGTGTTTTTATAAATGCCATTTCTGTGCATATCTTTGTACTGTATGTAATGTAGGATATAATGTCATAAATACTAAAATTAAGGTGATATAATCTACACTGCCATTACAACTATTTCCTGCCATCTATTGTTAACATGGTAATGTTATTCATTCCCTCTGTATGAAAAATAAAAGAGCAAAGACTGAA